GGGGAGCAGTTGGGAAGGCCTTGGGACAGATGGTGAGTGACCACTGGGTGTTCACCCCTTCCCTCCTAGGTGTCTCCCAACAGGGACCGCACATCCCACATCTCCTAGTGATGCCTCTAATCCATGCTATCATATTTCCCACTTCTGTGTATGGTTGTGAAAGCTAGGCAATGAAGAAAGTGGATAGGAATAGAGTAAGCCCATGTTGAAATGTTCTATGAAGTAGACTGATAAAAAGACAATAAATGGGTCCCAGAGCAAATCAAGCTCCGAATGGAGATTTAAGTCAAGAAATCAGAAGAAGACCAGGACTTGGAAGGGCAGCTATGAAGGAACTAGATAAGATCCTGAAGTGCAAAGATGCATCATTTAATACTAAAATTAGGACTATCCTAAAATGACTTAACTGTCATACTTTGGCCTAATCATGAGAAGACATGACTCACTAGAAAGGACAGTCATGCTGGGTAAGGTAGAAGGCAGTAAAATAAGAGGAATACAGCACTCCAGATGTATAGACTTAATTAAGAAAGCCATGTCCCCGAGTCTGCCAGACCTGAGTAGGGCTGTTGATGATAGCATGACTTGGAGGTCTTTCATTCATAGTCACCTTAAGTTGAAGTTGACTTGATAGCAATTAACAACAATAACAACAACAACAACAACAACTTTTGGCAATCCATCCTGTCCTCAGCATGTCCCAGAGTAGAAAACCAGGCCTAGCCTGGACCTTCTGGAGTTGCCCACCCGTTTTCTACAGCAGTGGATAAAAGGAACCCCAAAAGGTTATTTTGAAAGATAGAAGAACCTTAGTTGCACAGCTGAAAGCATAAAATGAAAACTCTTCCAAAAGCACATGGCAAACAAGAAACTGTACACTGCCTTGATGCTGTTACATTTTGCGTCATTGAATGCATTTTAATTTTCCTCCCTTTCCTTGTAAGTACTTATCTTGTTTCTATTTCAATCTGTGCAACTATCTTGGAGAGGCCCAGGTAAAAGCAAAAGGAAGGATTACAAGGGCTGATGCTCTTGGACTGCCCTCTATTGGGTATTTTGTGACTCCTTTTGCCAAGAATCAGATTCCCAGGATAGTTTGTGGGGAAACCTATGACTTAATGGTAGTGTCACTTGCCAGTTACAAAGGGTGTTGCCTCTGAATATCAAAATTCCCCACTAATCCTTCATCTCCCATGTGGATATGTTATTGTAGAACTGGAGCGTCTGTCTTTTGTTATGATAGTGCTGCCAAACACTCAGATTGGGGTGGGTGAGGGGGAACAAACACAGTTCAACTTCAGAAGATGTTCGGTATTCCATGTGGGTAAGTGAATTAAATCCACTCATATGCACAGTGTATAATGAACATTCACTGCTGTTGCCTTTAATTATTTTATTTTATTTATTTAAAAACATGACACCTGTGCCTCATTTGGGACAATATGAGCTGACTTCAGGCTTGAGGAATGGACTTTGTGTTTTTGCTGGAACTCCAGGATCCACCAGACAAAAATGCAAAATGGTGGTGCAGGAAATGGAATCTGCTATTCCTGCATTCTGCAAGCTGCACACTGGAATACACTATATAAAAAAGGTAAAGGTTTCCACATTGACAATGTGGTCAAGTTGTGTCCAACTGTAAGTGGCGGTGCTCATCTCCATTACTAAACCGAGGGAGCCAGCGTTGTCAAAGACTACTCTGGGATCATGTGGCCAGCAGGATTGCACAGAACGCTGTTTACCTTCCCACTGAAGTGGTACCTCTTTATATACTTGCACTGTTACATGCTTTTAAACCACTAGGTTGGCAGACTAGTGACAGGAGCTCACCCCATCACATGGCATGTGGGTCTCAAACTGCCGACCTTGCGATCATCAGAGTCAGCATCTTAATTGCTGAGCCACTGCGTCCCACAGGAATACACTGTATATGAGTACAAATTCAGTTCTGAACTAGTAAAAGTCAGAAATCTGAATATGAAACTCTAAAAATGGCCAGCTGGTATCAACCAAGCAATATTCCCATTTTGCAGAAGTGGACCACTGAGGCTAAGAAGCAATTAGCACTGAGCCAGCCATAGTAGAGATTTGTTTATTTGTCACACCTTTCATCCCTCCAGACTTGGACTCATGGTGGTTCACAACAGTGGCATCACAAGGGAAGGTGCGGTGGTGTAGATTGCACTGGATGACACCCCAGAGGGCAGCTGCCTTCTGGGTCCTATGCAGCAATGGCCACATGGGACTCGAAAGGCGGCGGGATGTTGCTGAAATGGCTGAGCACACACACACACTTCACTGCTATGTTGACATTTTACACACCGCGGCAGAAAAATGGGGGGGAGTACCCTTTTGGCCATGTCCCTTGAAGCTTGACCCCCAGAAGCCTGCACCAGGTGACACCCCAGGCATGGTTGCCACTGTTCCGAATGTGATTAAGAGCAGGTACAAATAAAAGCACAATAATTCTAAAATGAAAACAGCAATGAGCCATTAAAATAAAGTTGGTGATATTGTATAATAATAAACTATAAACAGGTATAAAGCAGAATTAAGTTAATATGGTTTTAGGAGCACTGGCAGGTTTGGGTTTTTTTTAAATACACATCCCTCCCTGTTCGCAGACTTGGAGTCCATGGTCTTGCCCATTTGCGGACAGCAAGTGGCTAGGGATAAAATGGCACACGCATGTGAGGCGCACACACAGATCTGCATGTGGGAGCGCATGGCCATTAAAACAAATGGGACCCCAATATTTGCCATTTTCCCGATCCATGGGGGTGGATGGATCTGGAACGGATCCCCTGCAAATCAGAAGGGATGACGGTAATTTTTATTAATTTCAAAACAGTTAAAAACAAATATCAGTAATTTGTGACAATATTAATAGAATGACATTGACTTCCAATCTCTCTTCTAGTCTGTTATAGAGGATCTATTTATTATATTGTTCTCTCATTAAATTCTTGTTTAATTGACACCGCATTGTATATTTACTTAATTTCATAAATCATTCTAACTTTTCAAATAAATGTTTCAAAAGTTGTGATTAATACATATTCAGTCTGTTTGTACGGTTTGTAAGTAATTAACCTTTCATTCTTAACTC